TTTGATCCGAAGAAGTCACATCTGAAACTCTTAATCCAAACAAATGTCTCTTTGGTTGACCACTTGATTTTCTTCGCCCTCAATCACTAGGTTATTCGATTCATAACAGATTATGGGTTTACGGAAATGAGACCCTAGGTCTCCCTAATCAGCAACAAAATGTACACAACTCACAGCACTTGCAATCTTAACATGGATCCTTCATAAACTTATCAAACTCCTTCATAATCTCATGTTTCTCTGTTATAACATGATTGACGGGAACAACAATAAAACAAAAGTATTTGAACACTGATATAAGAGTATTATGTTTGCTTCTGACTAGCACTAGGCTTAGCAGGTACTGCATTTGCTCCAGTGACCACTTGGCGATTGGCATGTCTGCTTCCTTAACAGGTGCTACCGTTTGTAACAGACAATAACTTTCTTACGCTCGGGTTCTTCATCTTGTACTTGATTTTTTTTTTGGCTGCTGTGCTGGAACATCCAAAGGTACAATGCCGCTGTCTTGTCAACTGGTGGCTGGGGCTGAAATTGAGCATTGACACCTTGTGGTAATGTACTCGCTGGAGTTGGAGCTGTTGCAACGGGGGCTATAGGACTGCTTCGGGATGCATGGATGACAATTCGCTGAGGAGCAAGCTTCTGATTGCAGGGAGTTGCGTGGACTGACGTGCCGGCAGCTATGTTTCTCGGTTTTGGCCACTTGTCGGCGAAATGACCCATTCCTTGACAATTGAAGCAACAGATATCTTCTCGGACTCGGCATTTTCTTTCCTCATTTTGATTCCTCTGTCCTGGCACTGAAGTTAGGCTGAAACTGTAATCTTGGCGAGGATTTGTGTTGCCTTGATGCTGCTCTCCGTTGGAACTGGCGGGTTGGCTGGCCATCCTCTTCGTCAGCAGAAAACTGAATTGACAATCTTTTGGTACATGATCAGTTCCTTGACAAAAGAAACAAGTGATCCTGCTCATTGGACACCTGTCGGGTGGATGGTCTTCCTCACAATGAACGCATGTAGTGGCACACGAGCTGGCAACATGACCGATTTCTCCACAACGAGAGCATGCCTTACGTTCCATTTTGTTCTGGTTGAAACCTTGGGGAGACTTCTGATCTTCATCATCTGATGAGACTTGATCTGAATCTTCACTATCAGACACTCTACCTCCATTAGCTAAAAGATGCTCTGTCAACTGTGGTGCACCCCGGAAGGTATTTCTTCTCTGACGTTTTGTCATTCCTGGTGGAGGCCATTCTGTGCTGGTAATGGTCATCTTACGTACTTCTTCTTCAGTTCGCATCGGTGCTTTTCTCCTCTGATTCTTACTCTTCTTGCCTTTGGCTTGCTTAGTACGTGACCCCACGTGGTACGAAGGGCTAGGAGGAAAGCAATTCCCGGGATTCAATGGATTCTCTTCATTGGGCTCTCTGCTTTGCACACTAGGCTGCAAGCTTGACTTGGTGCGAAGAGGCTGGTTTAGCGATGTCTGCACTGTTAAACCAAGGGAAGGAGCTTCTTTGGCATATACCCATGGACAATTCAGGGCATAGTGTCCTTGCTCTCTACAATCGTGACAAAAGGGGACATCCTCTTCTGGTATTGGAAGCTCATCGACCTGGGTGGCAAATGCTCGATCAAACACATACTGATTTTGGTCTTGACTTCCAACCAATGGTAGCTGTGGACTAAGCAGCATGCTTGGAATGGACCAAGGGTGTGCCCTTGTTAACTCTCTTGAGGCTAGTGGTGGATTGAGTTGAAAACTTGAGTTACTGGAGGCATACCCGCTGACATTCTTTCCTTTTTCTCTGTTAAACATCTGTTACAGGGATTGAGGTGAGAGAGGAAACAAGCCAGGAAAGAATAGACCAGAACTAGGGACAGGACCTTAAAGGAACTAACTCTTCTTGATGATGTGTTGTTTGTTTCACTTATTCTGCAAGTTGATTAAGCAAACAACCTAGCATGGTTACATCACAACCCACCGATGCAAACCACGCGCTACACACACAAGCAAGGAACACACGACTAACAACACTACCCTATAGGGTGGCTTAGGTTCTGCGACGGGTTCTCCAAGATTTTCACTGCTTCTACACAGCTGGCTTCACTGCTTCCTCCACTTCGCTAGCGGACCCTGCGGTCTTCCGGAGCTTCGGCAGACAATTGACGACATCTTCTTCTTCGCAAAGCTGACCATCTAGTACTAGTTGAAATCCGAAGAAGGAAGAAGGGAGTAAACCTTTTGCAAATAGCATTAGGGGGAGGAGAAAAAGGAACTTTCGCAAATAGTTTTATTTATAAAATATGTCCTTAGGTTTTATCCTCTTGGCTTATCCTACAGTCGAGATGGCTCTGATACCAGCTTGTCGCGACCGGGAAAATTGCCTTTTCCCGAACGCTAGTGTATTAATCCCCGTCCCAGGAAAAGCCGGGGTACACCACACAAACATGATATAAAAGACACATCTTTATTATATCGATAATATTTACATTATTACAAAGGCACTTAAGGCCTGACAATCAAAAATAAACAGCAGCGGACTAGCGGGCCTACGGCTCCATCTTCACAGGCGCTCAACTGGGGTATAAGCCAGGACTCCACCTAAGACTTCTTCTCCAAATCTTCTCTTACTGAAGGGGGAAAAGATTGAGCAAGAATGAGTACAACCACAGTACTCAGCAAGCCACACCGGCAGATGCATGATTAATGCAAGGGGGTACAAGGGGTAATAATATAGGGGTTAAGCTTTGCAGTAAACAGCATTTAAAAGTTACTTAGTTGCCCAAAGCCATTTTATAAAGACGATCCTAGAGTTACACAGTATTATTAATCAAGGCCGTGAACCCTCACGAACATGCCTTAACCCAAGGCCTACGATGATTCAGACCGAACTGGCAACCCGACCCTGGGTCCCAGCTCGTCCCAAGCCAACCCAGGCCAACCATTCCACATTTTAGTTGTTGAGCAAATTTTAAGAATTAAAACACTGACTTGGGTACATTGCTCGGCTTGCCCATAACCGAGGGCGCGGCTATTCGAATAGATTATACTCTGATCAGAGGTGTACATCTTTACCCACAAGACACATCTTCCTCACGTGTAGCCACGTGCCACATACCACCACGGTATACAGACGGAAGACGTGACATAGTTTCCAACCCATCCTAGCCATAGACAAGAGTACCGACCCAATCCCCCTACGGCCGGAACCTCCGGGACAGGCAGGCGGGACTGAGCCCCCTAGCAGCAGGGCACCAACCCTGTGCCACGACATCTCGACTACCGGGCCGCAGCTCGTGTAGCCTTCATTTGCCCTGGAGAATGTCCATCGACCCCCGACTTCATCCATCTCCAATCCGTGTACTTTTGTTTATAACCAGACTGAGCCACAAACTAAGCCTTACCCACTAGACATGTGGAAGTACGGTAGTGCTTTGCAACAGAGGCCTGAGCTTAATCCTTATAGTGGCCGGGGTGCTACTTCCCACAACTGGCATGCACCCAAACCCCACCGAAAACAGGTTTTAGGGGTTTTGAAAGAGGAAGAGAGGTGTATGTCCAATTCCACCATCATCCAACAATTCCATAGTGTCCAGGTGATATGAAAATTCCCAAAGTCTAAAGTTATAAAACCACCTAATGTTGCCTAGTTAATCAGCGAAGCATCTACCTAAATTCATACCCAGCGGGCGCGGGCGGCTGACAGCCGGGCCCCACCTGGCAGCCGCGGGGCGCGCCCGAAGGCGGCCTCGCCGGTACGGCCGACGGGAGGCGGCTCGCTCGCGCCCCTATGGTCGCCGGCGGCGACCACCGGCACGACGGAGCAGCGGCCGAGAGAGGGGAGGGAAGGGGGAAAGGAGGCGGCGGTCCTCGGCTCACCCCGGGTCGACGGCGACGACGGAAACGGCGGCCGAAGCGGGAGAAGGCGGCGGCGCGGTTCGGGTGGACGGAGACGGCGGCGCTCCGGCGGTCGGCGGGCGAAACGGAGGAGCGGACGAGGTCGACGAGGACGCGGCGAAGCCGATGGAGGCGATGCCGAAGCGGGAGAAGGCGGCGGCGCGGTTCGGGTGGACGGAGACGGCGGCGCTCCGGCGGTCGGCGGGCGAAACGGAGGAGCGGACGAGGTCGACGAGGACGCGGCGAAGCCGATGGAGGCGATGCCGAAGCGGGAGGAGGTCCGGGGCGACGACGGCGGCGAACCGGAACTCGGCGGCAACGGCGGAGAGAGAGGACGACGGCGCGGGCACAATTCCGACGGGGAGAGAGGGCGGCGAGCGGCGGAAACGGAGGAGGGGGCGCGGGGAACGATTAAATAGAGCGGGGAGGGAAAGAGGGCGGCCGGAGGGGAAGGAAACCGGCGCGGCGATCTCGGCTCCATCAATGGTGCCGGCGAGGATTGCGGGAGTAAATCCGAACGAATCCGAGGGAGAGAGAGCGGGAAAAGTGGGGGGAAATGGCGAGGGAATCACGGGGAGTAATTCCCCCCACTTCAATGCGCGCGGGGACGGCGGGATGCGGCGGATTCGTCGGCGGCGGCGGCGCTAGGGCACGGGCGAGGCGGCGGGAGCGGCGGGAGGACAGGGATGACAGGTGGGCCCCACCCGTCAGCGAGGGTGGCGGGCGGGCCCGCCTGTCAGCGGCGCGCGCGCGGGGGAAGGCCGGATGGGCCGCGGGGGAGAGGAGAGAGAGGGAGGGAGCTGGGCCGAGTCGGCCCAAGAGGGGAAGGGGGGGAAAACAGACTTTTTAGGGTTTTTGTTTTTATAAAACCTTTTTAACTTTGTTTATTTCTTAATAATTATTATTTGTGCTCTGAAAATTCCACTAAAATTTGAGGGCTCCTTTTAGACCAAGGAGAATTTAACAAAAATTCTCCGGGCCACATTTGAATTTTTCTTGTACGTATTTTAATGTTTGCCAATTTCTTTTCGAATTTTAATTAATTCTAGTATTCCTTTTAGAAAATGATTTTTAATTCGGGATGAATTTATCAGGACGTGACAAGTTCGACCATATCCCCAAGTACGGATACACCATCTGGAGTAGGGAAGTCTATGTCGTAGGACTCAAACCCTTCGTGGACCAATTGCGGCTGCACTTTGGCATATGCATCGGGTATGAACTCTTTATTATATGTTCTCCCAGGGATAGCAATGGTTGTAGCGGCCTCAAGAGTTTTCCCAGAGCGTCAAATGAGAACGTGCAATCTGCAGGGTGTATTCTCCTTGAGGTCATCGAAGGGGTAATCTGGCTCAGGTTGTTTGGTTGCGGGGGCAGGCAAAAGCATGTGCTTGACGCAGAAATTCATCATTTGCCTTTCAAAATCTGCAGCCCCTTCGTCTCTTAGTTTATCCTTGTACGCATCACGCTTCTTGTGGGGGGTCATGTTTGAACCCTTCCTTCCAACTAAGCTTGGACGATGTTGGTATTTCTTAACGACATTACTAGAAATATAATCTCCAGCAATGGTGCAGAAATACTTCTGGTATACTATGGTTATAGACTTCATTCGCAAGCGCACGGATATACCATTGTAGCATTTCACCCGAGAGTATTCCAAGGGTATCGTATTTATTTTATCCCGTGGGAAGATCATGTAGAGTGAACTTAACTAATAATTTATATATTACTTGTGACAATCATATTCTAAGCAGGGGTTAAGATAATCCAAGGGTAGAGTGACACACAAGCATTACTACTAATCCTCATAATAAATAATCTAAGCTAGGTGGAAAGAAAAGAGAAAGAGAATCTATTCCTATACTTCTAATATACATAACATACATACATTCTAGTTAACTGATATACTAGCTAATACCCTCTATCCGATGCCCTCCTGGAACTTCGAGAAGCCACCCCTGACTGCCGAGTTCCTTACGACCCCCGTCATGACCATCCAACCGGGGCTAAATACGGAGGAGTACCCTCCCCAGGAAATTAACTTAGGATTATATATAGGCGCGGACGAATACCCGTACTGAGCTATCACCATCAGCGGCCCACCTCTCATCCGCAATATATAACCCCAAATAAAGATATCCCGTAATCTAGACAACACGTCTAAACTACCAGATACTACTATAATATCATCGTCTTGACATAGAGCAATTGCATAAGCAAACACTATACCCGCACCAAAGCATCTCCCAGATAAGCTAGCAGTATATTCAGTATAACATGAACATAATATAAAGTAGATACTAATGTACTCGGAAAGTATTTCAATACCATAAATGTATATAGAAGAGTATTCTAATAAAAGTGCAAAGCTTACAAAAGAGGAAAGGAAAGCTACTAGAGCCATACCCGAACTCTTCCGAAGGCTTCCGGACTCCTGATTACTTTTCTAATTATATTCCACCAGCTAGATACTACAAAACTAAACTTGAGAGGAATGAGAGAGCTCTTGCTTGAGGTGTGTGTTGAAGTGAAGAGAGTGAGCTCCTTATATAGAGGTAGGTATGACGGTTGTGGAAGGGGAATTGTCCGAAATACCCTCCAACCGTCATTGGGGTGCAATCTTGTACGTCCATGCCAAACCCTAGCCTCAACGGTGGAGATGGGGGTTCGGCCGAACCATGGGCTGGCCCAAACCAGCCCATCTTCGGCTGGCGACTTCCTCTATTGCTCCACTCCACAGACTTGTGAATTTTGGCCCAATCCATCGTGTCAATTCTGAGTTCTTGGCCCATTCATGCATAAGTCTGGTTCTCGACATCGTCGATTGATTTATCGTTTGTGTTGATGTTGATTCTCCACCACTTTATTGTCATTCTCTGCAAAAGGTTAGTAAACCTAATACTAGTGGAATATTATTATTCTAACAAACATATGCATTGCAAGCATCACTATTTCTCCTCTATTTTGGTAATATTGATGGTCGAAACTGATCGATAACGACCGTCAACAGACGACACACCTCGAACCCTACCCTCTATGCTCAGGAGTACCTAGTGCCGTACTTAGCACATCTTTCTCCCTCTTAGGCTTGAAAGATCCTTTCTTCTGTGCACTGGATAAATTCTCTCTTTTATCGGCAACGCCCTGCAGCTTCGGATCTTCAAACGATACTTTGCCTTTATCCGTGATCTTAGGAGTTCCAGCTCTTACCCAGTTCCTAGATCTCTATGACCATTCCTCCATTGGTACCGGAAGGCCCGCCTTCCTTATTTCGTCCTCCTCTTTTGTCCACTGTGTCAGGGTTATGGATATCACATACCTAATAGTAGTTGACTAAATCTCGGCAGGACTTACCACATACCATGTCTTATACGGAAACTAACCTCGGATATGGATGGAGTTCCAGATAAGGAAAGACAACCAGAGTTCCACATGGAAATGACAAGGACTACTTGGATTGTATCCATATTAGTTTCCCTAGTTCTACTTAGAAAAGGGGACACCTATGGGTATAAATACAAGGCCCCTAGGAGGAGAGGAGAGACAATCAACATACACGGACATACACGGAATAATAGATCAAGATACGAGATCAACATACAAGGTAACATATGCCAAGACAAGCCGCCGGATATCGACTTCAGAGATAGGTATGGCTAGTCCCCTACGGTGTCTCCGGATACTGTCAGGAGAGACATAGCGCTGTCTCTGATCTCGCTGGGCACGGATTCGAGGAGGAAGACTACCCTGTTGTCAACTATGAGTCAGATCTTCAGACCGCCATGTCGACAACAGTTAGATAGGCTACCCCAAATATTGTACTGGTGTGATTATGGCGAATAAGAGCAACAACCGGCTTCGGCCAACAGGATGTAGGGCTATTACCTGACAATCCAGGGGCCCGAACCTGTATAAAAATCCTTGTCTCCATCTCTTTTACCTCAGTCTCGCTTATATCCTAGTACCAACGATCCTCATACTATGTAAATACCGGAATCGCGACATCAAACGTCGACAGTGGCGCGCCAGGTAGGGGATCTTTTGGTGCTTCAAGGTTTCGACGAGATGGGTTTAAGAGATGGATTCTCCGACAACATACTACTCGATAACTTCGGCTATGGAGGATCTAACCTGACCGGAGTCCGTGCCCCGACATGATCGGGACCATCATCGTCAACAACTTGGTCTATCGAGATCATTCAAGCCTCAAGCTCCGCGGCGTACCAAAAGATGTCAGATCACATGATATCGAACGAGTACGCAGCAAGGTAATTAGGAGATTGATTTTTTAAATTAATCTACTAATTTTGTACATATTCTCTGCTATATGTCTTGCCTTATAGAAAATATTTTTAGGAACAATTGAGCACTCGAGTAGGTTGTGGTCGAGTACACCCCATTATCGAGAACGATCTCGACAAATGCAGAGTCGTCGCGCCCAACCTGCCAACGAAGACCGACGACCTATCTCATAGCACCGGCCATGGTTGGACTACTCGAGAAAAGGTTGTTAACGGATAATTCCTCGCGAACGTCGTTGGCTTGATCACCCGACATGATTGCAAACGGACATCCGGATATGCTATAAGTTGGGTATGTGAGTCATGCTGGCCACATGAGATGCACATGTAATAAACCAACTCTAGCACCTCCATTGGTGTTCGAGAGATAATTCTACTCGCTGGTTCTTGAACCAGTAAACCGTAGCAATCTCTCGCACCGCAACTTCCATTGGTGTTCGAGAGATAATTCTACTCGCTGGTTCTCGAACCAGTAAACCGTAGCAATCTCACGCACCGCAACCTCCATTGGTGTTCGAGAGATAATTCTACTCGCTCGCTGGTTCTCGAACCAGTAAACCGTAGCAATCTCTCGCACCGCAACTTCCATTGGTGTTCGAGAGATAATCCTACGAGCTGGTTCTCGAACCAGTAAATCATAGCAATCTCTCGCACCACAACATCCATTAGTATTCGAGAGATTATTCTACCCGCTGGTTCTCGAACTAGTAAATCGTAGCAATCTCTCGCACCGCAATTTCCATTGGCGTTCGAGAGACAATTCTACTCGCTGGTTCTTGAACCAGTAAATCGTAGCGATCTCTCGCGCCTTAACTTCTGATGGTCAAGGTACCACTACGGCAATAGCGTAGCGGTCCTCGCACCACGACTTCAGACGACTTCAGATGGTGGAGGAACAGCTATGATTGGTCTTCGACCGGCAGCGTAGCGGTCCTCGTACCACGACTCCAAATGGTCGAGAGACACCTACTCACTGGTTCTCAACCAGTCAATCGTAGCGATCTCTCGTACATTTACTTCAAGTGGTCGAGTTACGACTACTACCTGGTCTTCGACCAGAGATGTAGCGATTCTCCCACTATTTCCACTTTAAGTGATCGAGTTACGACTACTACCTGGTCCTCGACCAGCGGTGTAGCGATTCTCCCACTACTTCCACTTTAGGTGGTCGAGTTAAGGCTACACTTGGTTCTCCACCAGCGGTGTAGCGATTCTCCCACTAGTTCCACTTCAAGTGGTCGAGTTATGACTACCATCCGGTCCTCAACCAGTGGTGTAGCTATTCTCCCACTACCTTTACTTTAAGTGGTCGAGTTGGGGCTACAACTGGTTTTCGACCAGCGGTGTAGCGATCCTCCCATTATGTCTACTCCAAAAAAGTTGATATCAGGTACACAATATCGCCAAGTGTTTTACCCAGAGATCCCTTACCACGGCGACACCTAGAGTTGAAACCAATCCTACTGTCCCTTTACGCCGTTCTGACAAGGCCTCTAAGGAACCTAAGGGAACTTCGACTGGGGACGCCCAGAGTGGATAAGGCCTTGTCGGATCATGTAGAGACAAACGACCATGTAAGACCTGGTCATGTAAGAGTTCTCGCCGTGCGTATTAACCAAGCCATGTAATCCGAAATTGAGTTTTCCAACTAGACGGCTGGGGGCTAGGGTCAGTGCCTTTTTGAACCAAGGCAGGTCAAGGGTCCAAGAGCCTTATCCTCCGAGAACAATTCTCCGACGACAAGGCTGGGAGCTAGGAAGAGTGTATGACTCAACAAACTGACTGATCAAAGTCGGTAAAAGAGAAAACGCTCGTACACAAAACATTGGTCTGTAAATTTAATTCATTTTTAGTTTTCCAAACATATTATAACATGTCACCCTTTGAGCATTCGCTCGGGGGCTATTTCTATTTAATATTCTTTTCTAAGTATTGATTTCCGGAAAATTCTATTCGACATTGTTGAAGACTCGATGTCTCTATGGTTCTACACCACAATCGACTAAGGCGAGTACGAAAAATGTTGACAAGCCTCCGTCGCAGATTCTGCGCCTTCTCCATCACTCGAGAACGGTTAGTGGATATCGACAAGGAATACGGAATGAAGAAATGGTGTACTCGCCGAGACAAAGTTTCTTGGTTTCAATCCAAATTCTCTATTACAGTAAGACGGGAGACTTAGTCGTATGCTCTGTGCTTTCTTGGTTAACGTCGGAGATTGACTCAGACAAACCCTATAGGTGCCCGCACGAGGCTGATAAGGGAAGTCTAATGTTATCTCTGAACTCACCGAGAACGGTCACGTGAGCTCGATAACAGTTACTCCATGGTCTGTAGTTGAGAATATGAATTTGTTCATTTGCATTGAAGTCGGGGGCTACTGTCAGGGTTATGGATACCACATACCTAAT